CTCTATTTTAAAGAGTTAACTCTTAAAAAAAAATTTCCAATAAACTCTCTATTTAGGTCAGCTATAATAGAGAGTCTAATTTGACTCTCTACATATGAAGAGTTAAACTCACTCTCTATTTGATTATTAATAAATAATAAGATGACACATATACTTTCTTCATTAAATGCAAGACTATTATCTTGTTAGAATAAAGAGTTTATTGGAGTTGTCTAAAAAATAATTTTATCTCTATTTCAAAATTTTATTAAAAATGTTTTCTATTTTAAAAAAGATTCTCTCCAAAATAAAGAATACTATTAGAGATGCTTTTTAGAAGATAAAGTTATGGTTCATTTGCAATTCTTCATTTGGGCGAGAATGGATGTGACAATAGGATTCTTATTCATTTTGGTTGTTCTTTTTTGTCATTATAATTTTTTCACATTGATATTGTATTTTTAATCATTACTATTATAAATTTTTCACTACTGTTATAATTTTATCTTTAATTAATAATGTATAATTTTATTAAACAAAGGGTCTAAGTCATTCATAATAGGACATGAATTTCAACCAAAATTCATGTTTTATTATATTATTTATTGAAATAAAATCAACAATAAAAATATAATGTTTCTTAAAAAAATATAATTAATATACAATTATACAATCTATTGGAATAAAATTAAAAAATCAAACAAGGGGTTAAACTGTAATAGACATAATATACTTTAACTTTAATTGGAATAATTTAGTAGTTTAATTTGGTCGTTTAAACGACCAAATTAAATTCCAACAATAGTACAATTGTATATTAATTATATATTTTAAAAAAAAATTAGATTTTTATTTTTATTTTAATAGAACATGAATTTTGGTTGTAAAGTCAAAAATATTTGATATTTTATCTTTGATTAGAATATTTTTAGTCTAAATTTATTATTTTTTTTAAATCATAAATATATGTACGTTCAAAAAGAAGAAGAAAAAGATCGTACCATAGTCTTATACAAAAAATTACAATACTCTATTTTCTAATTTTATATGAATTCCCAACAACTCGGAGCTATTTATTTAGTTTTAATTTTTGAGTTAATTTTGATCTTAATATAATTATTTACAAAATGTGTCTATTTTACAACTTAAATATACTTACTAAAAGATATGAATTTAAAGATTTAAAATTTTAAAATAAAAATAAATAAATTATACATCTAAAATTCTCCGCTTTCTCATGTTACCTCTAAAACCATAGTTTAAATTTCACACTTCAATTGTTAATGTTAGCTGTAGTTTTGTCACGCAAATCATAATAATAATAAAAAATGATATTCTGCAATGCTAGGACTTTGGAACTCAAACCAACAGTAATTGAAGGTGTTATGTTTAGAAAGTGGATAGTTTAGGGGGGCAATGTGAAAGGAGGGGCACAACTCAAGTTGCCGAAGTGTAATTTATCATATCTCTATGCCACCAACCACTTGTGATAAACCATACCACAAAGCAGCAGGAGAGAAAGCAAGAAAATTAGAGAGAGAGAGAGAAAGAGAGAGAGAGTCCTCTTCACAGCATCAAAACACAAAAAAAACATGGAGTATCAAAATGAGTTCTTAGCCAAATTATCAGCAACAAGCACGAGCACCATTGTCATCTGTATCGTCTTCTTAGCTGGTCATCTCTTTTTCAAGCACTTCCGCCATGTCCACCAGCCACCTACCTGCTCCTTAACCCTCCACCCCAACCACGGCAACAAGGCCCAAACCCCATACTGCTCCATATGCCTCCAATACGTCACCGGCGGCGAGAGTTACCGGGAAGTGCCCAAGTGCCACCATTGCTTCCACGTTGACTGCATTGACGCCTGGTTTCAATCCAATTCAACATGCCCATTATGCAGAAGCAAAAGTGCCACATCTTCCTCAGCAGAAACAAGGCAGTTTTTCGTCTTATTTTCTTTCACTTTCTCTCAACTTTCTCAGGAAAATGGGTGAGCCTATGAATTATGAGCTTACCTCAAGTTTTTGTGTAAGCGCCAGATACCTTTCATAGAGGTATTCTTTTCATTTTTTTTTAATTTAATAGTGTAACATATATATCCATTCATTATTTCTATTTTAGAATGGATAAATTACAGTTTGTTGAAGACAGAGATATTATGTGACTAATATTCAATCCATTAGCCAGATTTAGTGACATAATTTGATTTCTGATTTATGTCAATCCCTAAAATTAAAGTATATGATTGTGTTTGTTTCTCTCTCTCTCTCTCTCTCTCTATATATATATATATATGTATGCATGTATCTCTTGTGTATTAATCATCAAGAATAATAGAAATGTAGTCCTATGTGGGTTTTGTGTGTCATAATCGTAAGATCTTAGACCGAACCATGTTAATTCTTTCCTATTCGTTTTTTGATTAATTTCCTTTTTATGTTTAAATTTAACACAGTTTGTCCCCCTTAAACCATGGTTTCTCATTTCTTGTAACCCATGAACATGGATTCAAACATATTCCACTCTTAACTACTCAAATTCGAGATACTTTAAAACGATCTTTTATATAGAACAATTCCCAAATCCCAATTGTGCACTATATATGAAAAATGAAGGCTGTTTACTTCCATGAACAGTTGTTATTCTGTATGTAAATTGTACTATGCGTTTTATTATATAGCTAAGCAAACTATTTTAAAGATGGGGTTTCCTTCTAATTGTCCAAATGATAGTTTTTTTAATTGTTTAATGTGTTTTTTTTTGGGGGTAATTTTTGGACATGTAGATTAACATCGCGTGTCGATTCAACATATTGGGAAAATGTAATGTAACTTTCAAATTCAATAGGAACGAAACGTGAATGTCTCTAAATTCATCCACGAAAAGTTTGTATCACAGGTTGTCTGTTTCTATGACTTTATGTATATGTGGATGTGTTTGTAGAAGTTGTCTGTTTCAGAATATATATATATGTGTGTGTGTGTGTGTTTTGTAGAAGTTATCTATTAGTATGATTTTGACAGATAACTTGCCAACCCCATGTGAATATTTTAGTGACAAATAACCAGCTTCTATGACTTTAGTGGTTAGGTGTGGAACAAGAATAAGGTTTTTTTTTTTTTTATTCAATTCGTGTCATTTTGGTTCTCACATATACGGACCGTTAAATTTGTAACGGAATGATCACGTGTTGAGCACGTGATATCGTTTAAACAAATGATACATGGTCACTTCCGTCAAAAACTTGACGGATTGTTTGATTAAGGATCAAAGTAACTCGGATTGAAAATTTTAGATATCAAATTGACAAAATTAATACAATGAAAATTAAACTGATAAAAAAATACATACTTTAGCAACCAAAGTGCTACTAATCCTATAAAAAAAATACTCTCTAAAATCGAAAACACTATTGGAGATATACGCTTAAAATGTGTTTTGAATCCACACATTTATCTTTAAATACACTTTTGTAGAAATCGCAATAGATTGAAAAATAAATTGAAAACTGCTGTAAAAGAGTAATAAACTTGGAAAATCATCTCCATTTGGAAATTGATGCTCAATGTTGGCATATTTGACTTCACTGAGCATTCAATGGCCTGAAGGTTCCAAAGGCCAAATTAAGGTGTTCTTCGCTGTAATATTGGTTCAGAGTCTCTTAGGTTTCTTGCTGTTTTCATGTGACAAACCCTGCTTGTTAGAATCTAGACGTCCTGAGTTCAGATTTTGACAACTTCTTAAAATCAGATTATGAAAAATTTATACTTCATGAATACTTTAGTTTCGGTGTGAATAACCTGTTTTTGACTAGACCAAGGGAATTAATTAAATCCGAATTGTCTATGGCCATAAATTTACAAAATTTGTGAGCCATTAGGCAATCACCCCTGGTTTTTTATGTTCACTTTAACAACTGGATTTTTATGTTCAATGGCAGCTCCCTCTTGAAGATTAACCAACACATCCAGCTCTTGATAATAAATTCTTCTTCTTTTTTAAGTAATCATTCTTTTTAATTGGTTCATTGCCCACCAAAACATGATCCATTTTGTGGTTAATTGCTCACGTCATGTGAACAATTGTCCAAATTTTGTTTTCGTTTATGATGAAAGGGAGAGGCTATAGTACTGTCGTCACAAGTACTGTATCAAAAATTATAATTTTTTAATGGTAAGTTATAACTTTTTTGAGTTTTAAGTTAAATTTGTAAAGGGTATGATCGATTATGGAATGTTAAGATTAATACTAAAAGTCCGTGATCGATTATGATCTTTCTTTTGAATAGTTATAACTTTTTTTTTTAAATATGTAATTTTACTGTAAAAAGTTGTAACTGACGATATAGTACTAATTTTTTTTTTTAGTACCATAAACTTTCCCATGATGACATCATCAAAACATTTCGCTTTTGTTGGAAATTTAAAACGAATTAGTGATGAAAAATCAAAACTCTCATGTCCCACAATGAGGGTTCAATGTTCTAAAAGCTTTTGGATCAAAATTCTAAATTTTCTTATTTGGAAGCCAGCAAAAACTATGAAATAAAAAATAAAATTTTGATTCTTGGATGTGAGTGAGCATGCCTTTCACCATGCAACACACTATTGTGTATGTGTGCGTGTGTATATATATATATATATAAGGGGTGCAACACGAGAAATTTTCAGGGACCACCCTTCCTAGTCATATTCTCGCCTAAACACGTTTAACTGCGAAGTTATGATGGGAACACACTATTGTATCTAGTTGGGCATCTTAGCTGCACACACTTTAAAGGTGAGCTTTTTCTTACTAGTAATGCTACCAAAAAGAATTTGGGTTAAGTTCAAGTTGCATCATGAAAAGTTGAAATATCAACCAGAGTACTATGCATATTAAATCGAAGTTTCGAAATTCTTCACCCAGGTTTAATCCAAATTCTAGAAATCTCTCTTCAAATACCAAATATTTCGAGTTAGGCTCATGTTGCATTGGATTGAACCACCCAAAACTTGTAGCATAGTTATCACAAGAATGACACACACACACACATATATATATATGCATAGTATGATCTTAGAAATACAAAACACAAAACCCACATCAACAAACAATTGCAAGATAGAGAAATATTGGCCTATAGATAATGATAAAGGCGATCGGGATTAGGGTGTGATTAACAGCACATGTTCGAAGATGATAGCTAGCCTGATAGTTTTCTAGGTATTATTAAGGCTTTGATTGTGTGGGCATCTTGAGAGGACAAAACCCATGTTGAAGACTGGCCTTCCAAACTTTCTCAATGCTGAACATCATATCACCACACTCATGCACATTCCATCCTTCTAAAGCATGGAGGATCCCAGCTATGCGCCATGCACTCATCACCCTTCTAGGCAACCAATTCTGCCACAAGATCACAAACATACTATAAGAAAAGAAGTAATAGTGTGTGTCCAATGATAATATAGTGAAGTGGGAAGTGACGAATACTATGGATGTCTTGTATTTTGTTTTGATTCGTATGTTTTATGTCCATTTCGATTGTCTTTTCTAATCAATACTTGACTTGATATAGAATCGGTTGAATTTTTCTAGGACAATTCACGTGCCTTAGTCTATGGAGCCGATGTATAAGCTGAATAAGCCCAATCTAAAAAGCCCATGGATAATTGTCTTTTAGGGGTTGAGGACAGTATCCTAGCACAATTTTTTTTTTTTTTTTGGTTTTTCACACTTTGTACGTAAAAAGATTTCATGATTTTTAAATTGTACCTTTAAAGATTAAATTTTTCATATTAGACCCTCAATGTATCAATCGTGTTGCAATGTGGTCCTTCTATTAGCTTCTGTTATTTTTTTTTGTTAAAAGTCAACTCATTGATATTGTCGACAAAATTAATGGAAAGTTAACCGAAGGGTTACATTGAAATGCTTTTTATATGTTGAGTGTGTAATATGAAAAAATTTTAATCTTTTAAAGTGCAAAGTGAGAATTTGAAATCTTAACAGGTATAAAGTGTAATTCTTCCTTCTTCTTCTTTTTTTGAGTAATGCAATTTTAAAAATTTGTCCCAATTAGAAACCTAGAATGTAGAATCTCTACAAATTGGTTTTAATTACTAAACTAAGGGTCTTAAAATCTAATCCAAACAAAAAGCAAAGGGTTTTGAGTGCTATGTATATGTAAACTCATGGCAAAATGGGGAGTCCTTCTCTTATTTTCAATTCTAAGAATGCTTTGATTTCTTCCTTATTTATATTTGATTATTGGCACTATTCTTCCTCGGTGAATACATACACTAAAGCTAAACCACGTAATTTAGTGCATTTTATTTTGTTTGGGTTTATCGTACCTCAAAGATTTTAAGATTTTTGATTTACATCCCTGAAGATTAAATTTTTTACATTACATCCTCAATGTACCAAAAGTATTGCAATGTTTTCCTTCTATTAACTTTTGTTATTTTTTTTTTTTTTGGTCAAAAGTCAACCAATTGACACTTACAAAAAATTAACGGATAACTAATAGAAGGGTCACGTTGTGTTGTAACTTATGCTTTTCTTCCCTTTTGTTTATTTTCTTGCAAGGACTTGCACTATTCATGCAAATTCAGAAGAGTTAAACCAATAGATTGACCACCAACAAAAGAAAATGTTAAATTCTAACCTCACAAGAATCAACATTCTCAAGATATTTGGGAGTCAACATTGCTGGTGTGTTGTAGTAGAAGCAATCTTTGCGGATCATCTTTGGGGGAAATTGTGAGAAGGGAATGAATAATGTTCCTTTTGATGCCTTCATTTGCTCTTCTTCTGTCAATTCTCCTCCCACTAACCATATCTACAAAAATAACGACATAAACTAATCAAACTAACTCAAATCGCATTCGAGATTAGCAAATGACTTAAATGGCCACCGTTTTCGCTGTTGGAACTTAAAGGAGGGCAGCTTCACCTTCTATTCCCCCTGGCGCTGGAATAATCAAAAGCATTGTGCCAATCCCAAAGAGGAAATAGATAGAGATAAATAACAATAACCGAACCATGAGATATGAGACATATTTCAATTAACAAAGTCACTCCTTAAAGGAGGAACATAGATCATTACATCCTTCATGAGTTCGCACCCCTTTCCCTGTAATAGTGTTTGACAAAAAAAAAAAAGCTCAAATCTTGTTCACTTATTATCATCAATATTTCATGTACAAAAGTTAACAAATTAATTAGGAGGATGTTCACGGGGAGTTGGTGAAGTGCTGGGTTGGGCCTACCCAACCATCAGTCAGCGGCCCACATTGGAACACTGACTGGTTAATGAATCAAACTAGCAAATTTGAAAATAGAGATAATAGGATGGAAGTACATTTTTTTAAACTTATTTGGCTTTAAATACCACTTTTAAACTTATCCTCCTTTAAGTCCTTTTTTTCATCAAATAGTTGTCAATAAGTACACATTTTAAAATATTTTTAAATTCTTTCTAAAATGTATTCCATAATTACCCCTACCATAACAGTGCATACCTACTTGAATGTGAGACTTTCAAGATTCTTTTTAATATTTGTGTATCATTTAAATTTTGAAATTTCATATATATATAGACACACACACACACACATATATATAATAAAACAGGAGTGTGTTTGAATTTTATCTCAGTCATATTTTTCCCCTCAAAACTATCATCAATCACTTACTTCACCTATCATTCATTTGTCAAACTCAAACGTCAAATCACATCACTCAATTCTATCACATATTTAATCATTTACATATTTCCTCTCTAAAAATATCACACCACTCATTTTTGTCATATATTCAATCATTAATATTTAATTAATTTATAGTTAATATATTTTGAAAAAATTTAATATAGTGGGATCGATTTTTTGGATGCTCAAATTTTATATTTTATCGTGCTTTCAGACATGGGTTATGACTAGTATATATATATATATACTAGTCACTATATTACGTGTGTGTATATGAAATTTCAAAATTCAAATGATACACAAATATCAAAAAAAATCTTGAAAGTCTCACATTCAATTAGGTATGCACTATTTATGGTAGGGGTAAAAGGGATTTTATGACTTTTTTTTAGCATATGTACTTCTATCCCAATTATTTTAAAAAGTGTACTTCTATCTTATTAAATTTTTTGAGAGATAGTAACGTGCCTCTCAAACCCTTGAAAATGCACAGACAATGGCCTGTTTGTTGGGCCAACTCTAATGGGTTGCCCCGTTGGGTCAATCTTAATGTGCATGATTTTTTTTGAATATCTTGACGTTCTTCCTAGATCTCACTTCTTATTTGTTTTTAGTTTCATTGGGTCAATGGGCTAGACTTTCTTCGTGGGCCTTAATTGGGCCCATCTGACATGAATAGTATGGGTCAACCCATGGGCACAATTTGCCGCCCCCGTTCATTCAAATACCACCCACCAACCCAATAAGGGCTTGTTTTGATGAATTTTAAGGAGGGGTTTGAATTGACTTATCTAAATTCTTCCAAACCCAAACTCAAACCCCTCTTTACAAAGATATAATTCAACATTCAATCCTGTTCATACTCATATTTGGTATGCAATACATATACATGTAAGACGCATAGATATATCATAATTATGAATAACTATTTGTCCTATAAATGACTATTTTACTCTTGATCAATTCAATTCACACTCATGTTAAGGAGTACAATTGTCTTTTGTATCCTTAACCCCTTACTCATATTCTCAAACCCATCCCTCCTAAATTTGACGAAACTCATGATCATAGATTTAATCTCTGGGCCAACTACAGGCCGAGTTTGAAAACCCGGGACTGAATTGTTAATCTAAATATAGGATTTAGGAGTCGTTTGAACAATTTTTCCAAACTCATTTTGTCAAACTCTCTCATACCTTTTTACCAAACAGCCCTAAATGAATAAACTATCCCAACCCAAACATAGTATGCTGGAATACTATTAAGTAAAGGGTCCTTTTCAACCAATAAAAATATGTCACATTTACAATTTTCTATTTTATTTATTTATTAATTAATATTTATAATCATTCAATTCAAAATCAATAATCAAAATTCATAAAGGCATGAAACAACTTTCAATACCATAACCTTACCCTTTTAAATAAATAGAGAAGTGTGTGTGTGAGAGAAAGGGAGAGACAGAGAATTGTGTGTTTGACCTAAGAATGAACCTTTTTACCTTGGGAGCATAACTTTTTGAGAGGACTATGTTACTTCCAGCGTCGGTGTCAAGCTTTGCTTTTAGCCTCTTATACTCGTCCACACGTAATGTGGCCACCTGTCATAAACACCAACTTGGTAAAGTAAACATGGTAGAGTTTTTTTAATGTCAGAGGTGCAAATGGAGAATTTGAGAATCTTGGGGGGTACAAAATGAGATTAAAAATAATGCACTTAAAAGTACTGGGACCAAAGTGAGATAAAACACAAACATTTGAGACTACTACTATAATATAATCTCAATAATGCATACCTGGAGACCCCTTTGGGATAAAGCAAGGGCAATGGAATAAGCAACCTTAGACAAATTGCCTCTAAGGACCACTTGGGTTGTTCCTTTGGGAATGCTATTTAGCACAACAGCCACAGCTAAGCTACTTCCATCTACCACCTTCACTTTTAACTGAGGGTGCCTTCTTAGGTAAACCTCGCCATTTCTATTCAGTTCCTCCCCCTGCACCATTTTAAGGACAACTTTAGAGGTTAAGCTTTTAAAGTAGAGAATTGTTTAATATGATATTAGAACCGGAAATTTTGTATTCAAATATTCGTCGTCACCCTAATTATTAAAAGATTTTCACGTTCTAAGTTCAAAATTTAGCCTGCACTTGAGGGGGGCGTGTTGAAATATAAATACTAAAGTTACACTCTCTCTAACAATTTAAACTTTTGAAATAGATAATTGTTTAACAGGATCACCATTAGAGACTTTGTCAACTTTCTTGTATGATGTAAAAATAGACCTTATTGGGTGTAGCATTGTGGATCAAGATTGGGGTTTTAGATCCTTAATTGGGAAGTTCCTTTTTCTTAATACCCTTATTCTCCCTTCATTCAGAGTTTGTGTAACTTGAGTTCATCATGCTATACTCGTCGTGAAAGAAAAACGAACAGTTTACACTTGTCCCATTTCGTTTTAACGTATAGGAGATGACAGAAAAACTATCTTTAGCGGTTCCTCGATCCCTTATTTAATCTATTAAGGGGAGCTAGAGCAAGAGTAGCATTTCCAAACACTATATATATGTATATATATGCATATGTGCGATATACCATACAATGGGGGTGTCTTATTATTGGATTATAATATTACCATGACGTTACATATTTAGAGCAATGTTAATTTAATGGTTACAATGAAATCACATCATTATTTTATTAAATTAGATCAAATTTTTAGGTCAAAATAGCATTACTTGCATATTTGTGAGAGAGAGAGAGAGAGAGAGATACCTGATTGAACAGACCTAGACTTAACACCTTACTGCCTCTTTCCTCAGCTTCTAATATAGCTTCCTCAATCAAACTATTGATTAACTCTTTTTGCCAGTGCATGAAGTACTGCAATAAGCCCACAACTAAAATTAATGGCATTATGCATAGAAAAGGTAAAATACGGAAATAGTTCCTAAAATATGCGCTCTGTCTCACTTTAGTCCCTATTTTTTCAAGTGTGTCATTTTAGTTTACTAGCGGATTCAGTGAGACGAAACGCATACTTTGAAGACCATTTTTATAATTTCTCGTATAAAAGTGTAGATAAAAAAATAATGGAAAATTGATCAATATGGTCCTTACTTGTATTTTATATTTTGGTATAGCCCAGGTCTGTAATTTCAGGTTTTTGAAGATATTTCTCTCAACAACAAATGTTCGACCATATATCCAAGTAACCATCATGGACCAAAGAGTCACAGGCCACAGCACCCACAGGTACCACTTAGAAGTTTGGGGTGTAGAGGCAAGGGCTGCAAAACCAAGCCGGAGATGATAGATCGACTCCGGCGTCGTTAAATGGGTCAGATACACGACGTCCGACAATTCCTCTGGCCGATCGAGCGATGTTTCATATAATTTGTCCGAAGATTTGTCCATGGTGTCATAGATGTAGTCGTAAATTGGCATAAAAAGTGAGTAGTTTGTTCGAAATTGAGTGTGATGTAGTGAATGGAACCTGTGACATCAATCATGTAACAATTTAATTTACATAGAGCAAATCTAATTAGAAAAAATTTCGTCACAACTTATTTTATGAAGTAGATATATCTTATAACCCGAGAGACTAGATGAAAGAGAAATAACGAAAAGTCATTAAGAGTGCAACAATAAAGTAGGAAGGGATACTCCCATTACACAAACATTCTTAGTAATTTTACTTGCTTGCTCGGGTTCTTAGGGAATTTGGTGCTATTGCTTGGTACTATTTCGTGTTTTTGTTAGTAAAAACAACTATTTATTCCCAAAAATATCCGAGTGTGAGGAGTGGCGGAGGGAGGAAGGGTCCAAGAGGGGCTGGGCCCATCCTGAAAAAACTAATTTTTTTTATTTATATATCTTTTAGATATCCTCAATTGGGTCCACCCAAATAATTTAAGAAAAATAAAATTAATTAGGTCAAACAAGTCGGATACTACAACAAAAAAAAATAAAAAGTCCATACTAAATCGCTTAAATTAACAAATTAAAATTGATTCATATGTGTGATGTTTTTATGTTGTTAGAGTGTCGGGATAATTTTTTCAGTCTCTTGTGGTTTAAAAATTATAGAATATACACCCAAAAATAAGTCAAATGTGGAATTTGTAAGAAGATTATTATAGAATATTACTTTTATTTGTGTCAAAAAAATTGTTTAATTGATCATTGATGTATAGATGTTATTTTATTAATAATTTTTAAACAGGTCTCTTTTATGTTTAATAAATTTTTAAGTATTAATTACAATGTCAAAAATATAAATATATCACATTATTTTTATTTATTAGAGATCAAAATAAAGCTTGTACTTACCCACCCTAGATCATATTCTTGACTCCACCTTTGTGTGTGAGAGGATATACATTTAGAACTCGTTTGGTAGACGTATTATGAGGGGATAAAATATTATATTATACTATTTTTTATTTAATCGGACATAATATTTTGTTTGGTAAACAAACTTGATACCGTATTAATTTCAAAAATATTTATTAATTGTATATTTATCATATATTTTTATACGATAAACATCGATGTGGTATTATAATCCTACTTGAACGTATTATTCTACACATTTACTATTATAACCCCCCCTAAGTGATAAAATCAAGTTGTCATTAATGTAACAAACACTGATTGAGAGTACTTTTATTAATTCAATATTAATACGATTAAATAATTTTTTAACCAAAAAATCGATTAGATTAAATAACTATTATTCAACGTTTATATTGTGTATTGTCAAACACTAGATAAAACTGCGTATTATTTTAATATCATATTTAATCTTATCTTTTATTTATCTACATTGTATTAGATTGTATTATTTTATCGAATTCATCCATTTTTAATATGACAACCAAACAAGCCTTTATAAAATATGTAGTTAGCACGTAAGGGTCAAACCAATTGGGCTTTCACTCTCCTCTAAGATCATGGAGAGGAGCAAGATTACTTTTTCACACTAGATACCTTTGTTGAATAGGTATAATCTTATGAAGATTTTTTTTGCTATTGAAAAGGATGGTTAGGGGCGATAAGGCATAGCACCCCTAGGACATTATTTTGAGGTTCGCAGGTGTTATAGAATATTTAGTTTGAGTCATAGCTACTAACTTGGGATGATTGAATTTGTTACCACAGTACTATCGAGAGCAAATTGGACATTTAGTCTCAGTATTCAGTAGTATCTAATTCACAAGGATTACTATCACAAACAATTTCGAACCCATAACCATCAAAAGAGCAGGTTCAAACCAGCGACCGCCGGAGAAGGGCGAGACTTTTACTCTCTACTGAAGCCACCTAGACTACCACCTCATTGGTGCTTATGGAGAACTTTAACTCTTCTGGTGGCATTGCAAGTGTTTCCTCAAGGCGTGTATAGAATAAAGAACTTATTTTTGTGGAATAAAGTCAACTATTTACCAGAACAAAACATTTAACAATAGAACTCTAACCCACCCATTGCCAATATATCTAAAGTAAATGAACAAGCTTGTGTAACTTAAGGGTCATAGTGTAAATAAGAGCACCATTGTATTTAAAAAAAAAAATCGAGTTTAAACAAAATATCTAAATATAATTCTGAACCCACTTTGCAAACCCTAAAAGTTGGTGATTGATGTGTATGAATTTATGAGAAACGACAAAATAGAACATGTGATGTCTCAATCGTGGGAGATTAATGAAAGTGTATATATGTTAATCTGAACATTTTTTACCATTAAAAAAAAATAGAAATAATATGTAGTTATGAGTAATTAATGCAAGTACAGAAAGTGGGGAAATAGGTTCCCAACTTCACTTGTCAAATTGTACTTTGTGGTACAACAGCAATTACAAAAAATATAGTTTAAAGGTGGGAGACGGACTTGACCTAATACGACACGATGGCATCATAAACTTAAAAATAACACGTTAATTTAATACAAACTATAAATGGTTTGGGTTCATTTTAAACACCTGTTTAGTTGGTATTATAGAAATAGAATATGCATTTTTTTTTGTTTCTTGATTTAGTATTATTTGAAGTATTTTTTCTATTTTTATGAAAACATAAAAGAGGATACATTTAAATTTTGAACACCTTTTATCCAATATCATACTATACTCGTAAAAGTCCGAAAAAAACCCGACAAACTCAAATCCAAACAACAATAAAAAGTATTTTAGAACTAAATGGTTTTTGATATTTTTACTATAATTTGGATCTTGTAAAATTTGAAGAAAATAAAAACAAATGTCTGATAGAGTAGGTTAAAAAAAATGAGTGCGACATGACCTTTGAAATAAAATTCACACACGACACGATTCTATTAAGAAATGGTTGTATTTAAGTCCACCTTCTGTCCCGGAGAAACAAGACAAATATACATGCACTTGCATGAATGAGTGATTGAACATGAACTATTTGATGCCTACATGACCATAAGTATTCATTTAAAGATTTCAACATCATATTGGTAGAGGATTAGACCCTTTAACTTTAGTTTTCTTTTCTTTTTTGGTGATTTTTTTAGAAGGTATCCAAATGTCATTTTTTAGTGCCGCATTTTTACTTTTTAGTACTATAAAAACATGTCATGTATACAAAAATTTATTTATTATTTTTATGTTATTATTTAATAATTACACATCGCCAAAATCAAATCAACGATTTGGATTACATTTCAGCACGATATCTCTGCGGTACCGTAACCTTTTCCAAGCTGACAAATAATGGCTTATGAACATGCATACTAACTATACACATAGACATGTATATATGCAAATACGAGTAAAAGTATATAGGGTTGAGAGATTAATTGTGAGAATGTATCTTAGGGTTGCAAATGAATCTAATAGTTTATGGCTATGCAAACAAATCATTTAACCAAACTAGTTGAGTTGAGCTGAGTTATAAGATGTTTGAAACTCATCACCATCTCCAGACAAGCCAAAACATTCTTGACGAGCGGGTGGACTTGAATCGAGCCCAAGCAATCGTATGCTGAGCTCAGTTCTCGGTTCATTTACAGTCCTAATTAAAAAACAGTATAAATGAATAAGAAGATCAAAGGTTTTAATTAGGAGACTTACGAGGGTGTGTACATGAGGTACTTGAGAGGGGGGAAGATGGAGAAGACCCACTTGGGAATAAGCTCAAAGTTGCAATGACCCAAGTTGTTCATGAAGTCAATATAAGTGACATAACCAGCAAATGAAACAATGGAGGCAGTCCCAGTTAGCACCACTGTCAGCAGTGGTATTGCAAAGAGGGTGAAATATGCTATGTGTTCTGCAAATGGATGAATCACAGCTGCCACAAAAACATGTACATTCAATTAGTTTATCAATTACAAAAAAAAATAAAAATTAATTGATTAATTAAAGAACTCGTTGGGTTGGAGAAGAGGGGTGTTGGGAAATGGTCGTTTCATACAATTAGAAATCCTTTATTTTACATATTCATACAATTGAGTCATTGAGTTTCCGAAATAGTGTAAAAAGTATGAATCTTTTGACAAAAAATTGTTTTGCCAAAGCAACGAACCACAATCGGTTAAGTGTAACAATCGTAAATTTTCGACACGAAAGGTTAACATGATATAACAAGGGATGTTGACATGAATAATAAATGGATTGGTTAGTGTTGTATACAAATGCTAAGGGTGTGTGGACCAACTTACACGCACATCAATTAATTTTTTTCTGATCCAGTAAAAATTATGTCAGTCACGTTGACACTAGGATATTCATGAATACCATAGTTTCAACGCGAGAAAAAACGATGTGAAATTGAAAACTCATCTCTTCCAATAAAAAGTGTACACAATATAAATTAAGAATGTTGGACAGTAACCAGCCAGCACATCACTCTTTTACAGCCAAGCATTTTGGGGAGGACCAGAGGACCACATAGTAAATGCAAAGGTGTGGTCCTGAAAATTTGCAATAATGTTGAACACAATGCTCAACTAAAAGTTGTACTAAAGTTGTGTAATAGTGAAAAGTATGTTGCCAGCTCTATGCATTAACTCAAAAAATCGCAAAGTGATTAGTATGAGTCAGAATAACCCGTTGAACGAGTATTGCACAAAGAAAAATTAATACGCCATCAGGTTTGCAACCCAAGTGTGGATGAAGTCATAACAGTCTAGATTCCTAGAAGTAGTAGAGAGAGAAGTTAGTGTGAACTTGCATTCAAAAGATTTTGTTTCTGTATGAAGGATAGTGGTATTAAGATTAAAAAAAAATTCACAAACACAACACGAAGTCAAAATGACACAAGTATCATGTTATATAACCCGGACATGGCATAACACAAGTCAATTAGCACCTCATGAGAGAGAGGAGAGAGAGAGAGAGAGAGAAAAGGTGGTGTGAACTTACATGTGATGGGCTCAGTGACAATGGAGGAATGGTGGTGAGAATGGTAGCGAGAGTAGAGGTAGTGATGGTGCAATGCTCTGTGAAGCCAGTAGTAGAGGAACTCAACAGGGCCAGCATGAAGTAAAATTGTGATTATCACACCATCTGTCCTCCATATTGGCAGGTGAGAACCACCTTTGAGTGTCGAGGCACCCAAGTAGAAGAGTGTCCCATTGAACAAGATTTGATCATCCCTGTCAAACCCTCAATTATACTCACATCAGAACTCAACCATAACACACACACACACTTGGGAAGAGGGAGGAGAAAATATCTGATGCAACGGTGATACTATTTTATTATTATTCATTAAAGAAAAATTACACTTTGCAATCCCCTCAACTATGACCTATGTCTCATATCGTCCTCTCAACTGTCTTGTCCGTTACATGACGCCTTCGAGTCTTGTTATTAGTTTTAGAGTAATGCTATTCAAATCTACAAATCAAACCTCATTATTGACCTGATTATGTGATTTTATTGAAACTAATAGATGAAGAACAAGTTCTAATGTTTGATAGGACTCATAGTCAATGCACAGGTCATAACGAATGAAATTAACAAATAAGGTCAAATTTTTAAGTGCAAATAACATTACTATTTATTTTTTGCTGCTTCAATAGTTTACATCCATCACAAATTTTGACAAAATTATTTCAATTTGCCCCTAAACTATGAGATTTTGAGTGGACATTTTTCATTAAAAAGATAACAGACGCTTGTTTTTATGGCAATTAATATGAAATCTATAGTCGTAGTTGCGGTTGGGACTCATTGCTAAAAATTAAATAATTCAAGGAGCAAAGTAAAATCGACTTTATAATTGAGGGGGCAAAATTGTAATTTGGCCCATAGATTATTTAAAAACCAACCAATAGACTAGGTGAAATCCCACTTATTTGTTGGATCAAGAAGGTACTGGAATAATGGTGTTCGCTCGGCCTATTTGTTGGTTTATAATTGGTCAACGATTTCAAGTGTCACTAACAAGTGTTATATGAGAGAGAGAGAGAGAGAGAGAGAGAGAGAGAGAGAGAGAGACCAGTTCCTTTCCCTGTCAACTTGGTCGAATTCAATGCTCTTGTCAACAATCCTGTTATTCCCTTTGGCAGTTCTGTAGCGAGAGAGGGAAATCCATATCTGATTATGAAGCATCCTTGACAAGAGAAAGGGGAAGATGAGGAAGTTGGAGAAGTCTCTCTCACTTTCATCCTTCACCATGTAGGAGTACATGCTATGAACCACCCAGGGTGCCAAAACCACATACTTCATCCACAAAATTTCAAGACCAAATCAGAATTATTCAAAATAATGGGGCCAGTTGAAAAATTAATACAAAGTAAAATTCAAAAGTAATTCCACCGCCACACACATTTTATGTGAAAAAACAATAATAATTTCAAAAGTCCAACATTGCACTTCGTCAACTGTCTAATTTTTTCGGTGTAAATAGAATCATTTCAACCATGCGTCCGAATTTATGCATCACCCCATATTTGACCACTCATGTAGATTAACCACCAATTGATAAAGTTACAATAAAAGAGAGAAAGAGTACTGTAACTGAGGGCTTCAAATGAATGGTTCTATGTGATCCCTCTTTCCCTACAAGCTCTTGCCTGGCTGTCTTTGAGCATTTTTTCTAGCATGTTTCCTCTGATATAAGAGATTAGTAGTGTTATTTCGATCTAAAAATTTGATTTAATCAGTTGATCTAAGGGTATGGCAATGACATCAGCTAAAAATGTAGAGACAAAACACCATATACACTTGTGTACTCTCTGTGAATCGAATCTAGGGCATAACCCAGCGAGCCTCAAACAAGCCCCTTAACGAGACGCTAAACGCCACTGGATCAAAGAGCTTGGTGGTAGAAACTGATTAGTATATATTACTGTGACCACTTTAAAGAAAATGAGAAGCTAACATTATGTGTATATATGCATATAAATGATGAATTGAAGAGGGAATACCTTGAAGCTTCCAAGGTGTTTCCATGGCCAGTCTGTGAGGATCCCTGGTTTAGAAGCCATTTTCTTCTCTCCCCCAACTTCTTTTTTTCTGTGTTCTATAATGCACAATGGACAGTTATATATATATAGATATAAGATATAGATATTGAACCTTGCCACCATTGCGGTTTCAAGATGGTTCGTATAAGAAAATGATCTGATATTTTGATTTAATGATGGTGACGATTTGGAAGGTGATATAAGGTGAGTTGCTATGAAATAAAAATTAGTGTTAATAGTATTTTTGGACCCTTAAAATGTATATTTTTTCTTTCACTTTAGTTATCATTTTGTCAATTTGATCCCTAATAAAACAATTCATCACGTTTTTTGACAGAAATGACAACGTGTCACTTTTTTATACGGTATCACATGTGCAACATGTGATCATTCCATTAAAAACTTAACAGTCAGTCTATGTAAGAACCAAAATGACACGAATTGAATACTTTATGAATCAAATTGATAAAATATCGACTAAACTGACAAAAAATGTATACTTTAAGGACCAAAAGTATTATTAACCTTAAAAATTATATGATTTTTGACTGGACAAACTCATTTAGCTCGTATTGAATGATTAATTACCTAATTGTTTTCTAATTTTTTTTCATCTAGTATTGTTTGAATTATTGTACAATTCAATTGTTTTTATGTGATTTTGTTAGCATGTAGATCAATATGTGAAGAGGATTAAGTTAATCTAAACATGTGATTAACACAAAAAAAAAAGTCAATGACATGACTCCAAGGTATTATGATACGAAGTTCAAATAATACAACTCGAACATATTTCATTCACGACTCTATTCTCATCCTTAGTCATTGTTCTGTCCATTATGATAATCTACCCATTTAGAGGCTTAACATGGCTGTGCTTTCACCATTAGGTCGGGAAGTTTTTGATAGGTACATTTACATTTATTGGACTCACATGCCAACAAGAAAGGCCGTTGGGCAATTTTTATTGTGTTACCCAAAATCATCTCTTTCATGTGCCTTTGATTTCTCATGGATGATCTAAACTTACTTTTTTTAATACGTTTCGATCTTTTAGAAAATAGATTTGTTTCCACCGTTTTTACCATTTCAAAACTGAATTTTGTTCATTGCTTCTAACTTTGTTGGATGTATTTGAATTGCAAATTTGACTTGTCTGATTCTTCATTTGGTCCGATCAAATTGTATCTTTTTTTTAAAATTATTTGACATGGTACCAAATCACCAACTATAGACTTCTTAGATTACATACGACATGAAAATATATTGGTAAAAACCATAATTGGTCTCTAAACTTTGTTTTCGGTTTTAATTTGATCCATGAACTTTCAATTGTCTCAATTTAATCCCTCAACTATGAATTTCATCTCAATTAAGTCTTTTCATCTTTTTTTACTGTTAGAACAAATGGAGACTAATTCAATCTGATCAATTTCTACCGTTAGATCATATATATGTTTCCAATCAATTTTAATTTTAACGTTAATGTGTGTTTTGGATTTTAACTTTATGTATTTTATCAATGTAACTCCTATTTTTTTTTTTTTATGTGTAACTGTTTTTTTTTTTTTAGGATTATCTTGGATGAAACTGTTTTCTTAAGACGAGTGAAACTATCTTTTTAAAAATATGTTTTCTGCCAGTTTTTTCTTTGGTTTCAATTGTACACCATAATAAGATGAAATTGTATGTTTTACGTTTTGCAAAAAAACAGAGTAGCTCCGATGATTTTTACTATTTTTATTAACGTGTAACAGTTTTTTTTGCAAGATTATCATGGGTTAAACTGTTTTTTTAGAAATATATTTTTTGCCAATTTTTTCTTTGGTTTCAATTGTACACCATAGTAAGATAAAATTGTATGTTTTACGTTTTGCCGAATGCAAGTCTTGGTCTATTAGGGTTTCAAATAGCGGTGTGTATGAAGTTAATTCAAATTCTTCTGTTTCAATCGACATTAAGAATGACACATGCTCATATTTTCGATGGAAGATTAATGAGTTTCTTTGTTCTCATGTTGTATCGGTGATTTGTAAGCGTGGGAGAATATCAACGAATTTGTAGATTATTAATATCATATGAAGACATTTAAGAAATTATATGCTTAAGTTATAATCTCAATCCTGACTCTTGGTTGTCCAAACTTCTCAGTGGATGAAGCTGAGATTTTGTCATCATCAACTAAGAAGTAGCCTTGCCGACCCAAAAAATGTAGAATAAGGTCAAGGGAAAATTTATTAGGCGAATTCGATGTGGGCATTGTGGATGGTTAGAGAGCTACAATAAGAAAACTTGTAATGAGCCTATGTGATTGGATTATTTTTTTAAATTAATAAAATTCCATTAATTTTTTTTTTATTAATATAACTTTATTTTTTTGTCATTGTTGTATTATGTTTTAGTCATTCTATGTGGGCATGTTACTGTGGATCATATAATTTAGGGGAACCATACCATATGGTGTATCTCTTTTCATAGTTGTAATAGTAAACTCTTTTGTGTGCCGGTATGTCTTGCATAATGACCTGTTAATGCCAAAAGTCGATAAGGCAGAGAGTTATACCAATTAGTTATTTCGTCATAATCTGATATCAACGCGGTAACAAATAAGTACACTAATTAGTTACACCAGTCAGTTGTACTTGATATATGATACACCAAATAGCTATTCATATGTTCTGAAAACATTTATTAAAATTATACGACACCAACCAGTTATAATTGTCCTATGATACACCAATATTTTATTCATGTTTTCTGGAAATAGTTTGACGAAACAGTTACACCAATTATAATATACTAATTAGTTATAATTACCCTATGATACGTTAAATAATTATCCATATGTTCTGAAAACAATTGCACTAATCAACGCATTGCATCATTCAATTGTTTAGTTAGACAAGAGAATTATACTATTCAGTATCACCACATGGTTATATCAATTATATACACCAAATTGGGTGAACCAATAAATCGCGCCACCAAACAGATAAACTAATGACCTGTAGTATTTAACCAAAGTATTGCACCCGACATCCCATAGTTACACGGGAAAAAATGTACACTTAAAATTACAAAGATATGCAACAAAATCTCAATCATTTGTTTTCAATCGATAGTAACAAACAGTTCCCCAAAACATATAAATATGTCTCCAATGCTGTGGAGTTACTCCAAACTATGACAATAAATAAAAACCAATTTAACTATTTACTTTTTGTTTTGTTTTAATTTCAATTTTTCATTCATTCATTCGTCATAAAAGAATTCAGATTTCTTATTTTTCATTTCACAAATTAGGCTTTTTAATTTTGATTTGGTTTTTTTTTTTGGTAAAAAGAAAATGCAAAAAAAAAAAAGGAAAACTAACCATTAAATTTTGGAGATGAAACACACCCAGTAGGCGACCTTCAATGTTCGGCGAAGATATTCAGGCGACGGCAAACAATTACACTTAATGGACAGTATCCAAACTCGCCGGAGTAACTTTCTTATCTTTCTCTTCTGTTAACAAAAAATCACTTTTCGTCTCCAATATGTTTGAAAACCAAAACCAAAACCAAAATCACTAGCGAAACACGAACGCAACAGCTAAACTCGAATTTTATGTGGCTAATCAAATTTCAACTCGAAACACAAGAGTTTTTGTCTCGTCTCTTGTTCAACTACCAAACAAACACATAAAATTTGATGCTTAAAGCTTGCATGTATACTCTCTTTTCATATTAAGTACTTTCAAACAGCACATTGTGCTTCATCTATTAGGTCATAATCATTTGGAGCAATTATAGATATTTCTATATTAATGCAATTATAGATATTTGACATATGAAAGTCCCTCAATTAGTTGTAACTTCTTTCTTACAGTCAAATAAAATAACATTCTTTTTGATTGAATTCTGATCCAAAGATGAAAAAAAAGATTGAATAATCATTTTATGATGAAAATAATATAATTGTGTTTTGTGTTGTGTGTTGTGTGTTGTGTGCCTAGGAGGTAATTTCCATAGTCGATCATAGCTTTTTAGAATCGATTATGCTTTTGTAAATTATAAGTTACGCCTCAAAAAATTATAACTTAATCATAAAAAATAATTTTCAGTACGATACTGTTGTCGATACCGTTACCGGTATCTTTCATTTATCAAGATCTATATGGTGTTTAACAAGCACACCCAACCAACCAACCAACCAACCAAAAAACATTAGTGTTCGACAAATAACTGGTCCTAATAAACTTTATTACATATAAGAGACATATTTGATTTGAGGTTGTAAATCACAACATTATCGATTGATGCTTACAATTATAAGATCCCATTTTATTAATCATGCAAACTTCTAGACGTCTAATGACTAATGCGATCAAATTTTGACTCTTTAATTCTTGTCGTATCATACAGTTGTGTTGAACTGAACTTTATCTATGACATGTAAAAAAAATAAAATGAACCTTTTTTTTTTTACTACAGAGTGTCTAAATTTGTGCGGACTACTCCATCAAACTCTGAATTTACTATCGTAACTCAAGCTAGTTTAAGGACATGTCTTCTGAGAAATAAAGATGGTTGACCCTTATCGTAATGAGCACTCATCTAATTATTTGGGTTAGGTCGACTTTTGTATTTTCAAAATATTTGAATATAAATAATAAGTTTGTTGGATAGTCAGATTTAATTCGTATTCAAATCAATTAAAATCCCATTCAAATTCGACCATTGACACAACTTCCCAACTGACCATTGACACAACTTCCCAATTGTTGTTTGTTAGATGCAACAAGTATCGATGATCATCGTACAACCATTTCGTTTAACTTCCCAACTGCTGTTTGTGAGATGCAACGAGTATCGATGATCATCGTACAACCATTTCGTTTAACATATCCCCCGTATAAGGAACTCCTAGGTCCCTTCTCACATGTCACAACAAACACTCTTTTTTCTCACTTATTTTTCTAGGGATGGTTACGGTACCGACTTGTGGTAGGTTAGCAATTGGTCTAATTATCACCATCATTGTTATTAAATTTTAAGATCACGA